ATTATATATATTCAATTATACTGATATATAATGGCAGGTAGGACGCCAACAAAAGGAGAAAAAACTATTCAGAAACACAAAAAAGTACCCAAAGATCAATCCATTGCAGTCTTTCATTCTCTATACAAATCAACATTCTTTTTCAGCTATCCAAAGTCTAACCTTCAACCACCACTATTCACACGAACACACCATCTCTCATTCTCACACATAACATTCGTTTTCATCGGCACCGAACAAAAACTTCAAACAATCTCGAATACTGCAATCAGATTTCATTTTTACCCCTTCCTGGCAACAAACTCTACACGTTTTACCCGCAGTCTACAGAGCAGTTTGACTGCTCGAATACACCTGCCGTCATTATATTACGGTGCGCTCCAAAAAACTTCCTTATTGCTGTCATCAATAGTCTTTTTTCTTCCCTAGCAAAATCAAATAAAAGAAGAAATAAAAACTTCAACGCCCATTAAAAATTTTAATGCAATAAAAGATGCTCAAAAAAAGAAACAAAATTCTCGTCTTTTTGGAGTAACAATGAAATGGTCATTAGTAGTGTGCGTGAAGTGCAGTCAAATCAATCAATCGTCGCCTCCCTTTAGATTTCAAATTGAATTCCTTCTTTTGAAAGCTCAAACAGATGCAGACAAAACAAAATAAAAAAACCAAAGGGCAAAAAAATCAAAGAAAACACTTCACCAAAATAAATTAATGGTAAAAAACTTTCTCTGAAAATTTTCAACGGAACAAATGCTTTGATAAGAACAATACAAGCTAAAAAAAACAGAAATGACAGCAGAATAATTAATTGCTAAAATTTATGTCAGATAATAAATTCACTTCTGGCAACACACATTCAAACGTGTTTTGCCTGAGCAGCTGAATGAACAAACACTCTCAATTTATCCATCAAACCAAAAAACAATTCAGAGTCCTCAACCTTAAGAAACACATATATCACTTCTAAGAAAAATCCTCAATTCGTCACGCATGTGAGAAACAAATTCCTTTAAGAAAAACAGACAAATTTTTTCGTTTTAACTACAAAAGAAAACAGCGAAACGACGTAAAACTGAGTTATACGTTCGAAAAAAAAATCGATGATTTCTAAGGGAAAAAAAAGATGCGTAAGAGATCAGTGATCAGCAAATCTAAACGTTGCCACTACAAACCGAAACTGTACGTCGAGCAAAAAACCTAAAGAACTAGGCCTAACACTCTTAACAACCACTTAAAAACGACCTTCAACTTCAGTCTAAAAATCTAAAAAAGTTACAAGAAAAAAAGGGTAACGACAGCGGTGGATGTCGGACAACAACAGAAAACATTTGTAAAACGCAATCAGCAAAAAAAAACTTCCTATACCTCCTAAAAATGTAATATTCATAACTTCTTTTCAAAACATGATGACAAAAGAAAAATAAGGTTGTTAAGTCACCATAGTCGTCACATTTCAATTTTAGTTCCCA